AATGGTCAACAGATAATGACGTAATGAAACAATATTACCAAAACGTGAGCTGTGAATTTCGTTTGTCTTTTTTTGGAGGCTGCAGCATGGCATGCCAAAAATAGGTAATCTGAAGACGTTGATGCCTCTTTTGAACTTGGAATTTTATTAGGAAAGTATTAGAGGTTGGTTGCTATTCTTACTAAATCGAAATTGTGTTGGGCATACCTAAAGCTCATACGAACATTATGAATTGGGTTTTCATGCCTGGTAGAATAAGTGGATTGCTGGATTATTTTGAGCAAAACTGACCTGTTTGGCTTCCAGGTTTGATTTCCCAACATCTGTCTATAGGCGGCGGAACGGGGGGAGGGGTGGCACCCAGGGCACCGTGCCCCCCATAGATTTTGGCATTTTAACATTAGCCCTACTGGCATTGCATGGAAAGAATGGGACCAAAAGTTGGCAGTGCCCCGCCGCCACTGCATCTGTCTGTACTGTTTGTTCATTGAATTAAAGTGGCTGTAGCTTGTTGATAAGATTGTCATCAGTGCTGTCATGGAAAAGTTACAATTGGTCACAAAAAGTAGCAATGTGCATGTTCTTGGTTTATTTTAAATGTAGTACATATGTTCTTGATTTAAAGTCAAATTTAATGATGATAACTTACCTAATGATTACAAGTGGTCTTAACCATGTCCACAAGTGACAATTCTCAATTGTATTGCACTGTAAGGTGTACAATTATGTAGGATAAGGGTTTCATTGGCTACATGTTGTCGTGAGATCCATACAGATCATACGTCCTCTACAAATTTTTGCCCGCTGGATCCACAGAGATCATAGATTCGACCCCTAAATTTTGTCGAGAGATCCATTCAGATCATAGATCCGACCCCTGAATTTTGTCGAGAGATCCACTCGGATCATAGATCCAACCCCTCCATTTTGTCGAGAGATCCACTGAGATCATAGATCCAGCTCTCGGATCCATGCACATGTCTGGTGACGAGTATTCGTAATACGTGTCAACCGCCTCGGACAGCTTCGTAACATGTTACGAAGGCACCAAAACTACTTCGTAAATGTTCAAATGGTTGCTAAATTCGAATTCAGCTCCAAAAATTAGCCTAGAAACATGTAAAACTCGTAAAAGTGAACCGAGGTCACCCGAGGTCACCAAAGGTCAATGACCTGACCTGACCTTCAGGTGACCTTGACACCCACCCTAATGCATGGGAGCAACATCAAATCACATGTTTGAACGTTTGAAACCACGAAAAGCTTGCAAACGCGCGGCTAATGCGAGCCGACATGCGCCGAACCGCGATTTCGGCCAAACATGGTCACAGAAAAGAGGTCACAGGTCAAAGGTCATTTGGGTCAGGGTGATGAAATTTTCAGGGTAGGTGTAAAATTGATCAATGCGAGGGTACTGAAAGTTTCGTCGCGATCGGCCGCCTTTTACGCGAGTTATTCGCGAAAAACCTTAGGGGGGGTTGCATCACCCCCCCCCCCCCCCCCTGTGCCGGCGAGGGTTAAAACAGCAGTGTTCAAACAAAACTCAAATTAAACTTCTTGTAGGCACATATGTGTGCTGTGCAATTTCTCACTTTTGTGTTTCTTCGCTGTAGCCTTTCTACCGTTACCTGCTGGTGCGGAACATATATCATCGTTTATTACAAGAAACAGCAATATGCAACTGACAAAACAACAATGCTCATTCATTCGCAAGGCACCCACAATGCCGCCAGAAGTGAAATTACACAAACGACACCCAGGAAACCACACTGCACTGGACCAAAAACAACCAAGATCGGAATGAATGATTTTCAGAAAACGTCATTCATCTCTCGTTCTCGTTAAATCCTCTCACTTTCTTTCCTTAGTTTATTTATACCATAGCCCTCCGATTTGGTGGGCTGAGCTAGTGGGCATTTCGATATCAAAAGCGAACATAAACATCAATTGCAGATAGGTAGCTGTCACAAAAGCCGTCCCTGCAGAAACTCCGTGCGTCATGAGATGAAGATCACAGGCAGTTGGGGGCCATTTTACATAAACGTCATACTAGTTAAAATGTATCTTGAAGAGCTGAATGTTGTGATAAAAAAGTATTGTTCCTTCATCCATATACACTTCAAAGGACCATTACCTATGGTCAACCGTAGTGTACTTGTCCAAAAAAAAAAAAAAAAATGTTATCGTTAAGGCATAGTGTATTCCAAGCGCTGAGTCATCAAATATATATTTTCAAGGTGTTTGATGGTTTATACTTACAAAATAATAGCAACCAGATTGATGCTAGTCTTGTCAGAAAACTGCATTTGGAAAAACTATTCAACTTTCGAACTAACTAGCTCAATTCAAGGTAGGTTTTGTTGTATGTTTCTTGACAACGACCTCGATGCGAAGGTCGAAAATTCGAAACGAAAACTGTTTATTGTATAACTACCTTGAATTAAGATGTCTGGTCGTAAAAGCTTGAAATCATATATAACTAGCTCAAATAACACACACACAACCCAATTTCCTTCCGAAGCAGCGCACAACCCGGATACCATCTCCTAGCCAACAGAATAGAACCAACTGTAATTGTTCCCTGATAACAGTAATTCTAACTTCGAAAGAAAGGCCTGGCATACAAAAACTGCCAGCAGTGTCTGATTTTGGTTGATTGTGAGGTGGTAGGAAACTCAATGTACGAATGTGAGCCTTCCTCTATATTGATCAGTGTCAAGGGCTCGCTTCACATAAGAAGATTCATATTCCAGGGACAAGAAACGAAACATTCCACGCGAATCCCCTCTAAAAAACGTTGCTAAAAGAGCTCAATAGCGCTTCAAACGAGCAAGTGGGAAAATAGCTGGGAAAATAGGCTCCCATCAAAGCCATAAGGATACGATGTATTTGCGACTGTGAAAAATAGGTTTGGTCTTTTTCCAATAACTTCTTCTTCCAAAACATGACTTTAGCTGGCTGGAGCTGCCTACGTTCATAACATGCTCGCCATGGCGAGCCGTTCCGCGGCCAGCTCATCTCCAGCCGGCTGCAGTCCGCGACATGAGATATCGGCGGCGTCACCTCAGTGGGACACCGCTCCATATCGTGCCGGCGGCGCCGTATCCAGGGATGAAGGGTACGGATGGCGGCCTTTCACCGCTCCTTCCGTGGATGAGGTCGAGGACGGACAGATAACACGTGCGACAGAGCCGAGCCGACAAATGAGCGGCGACCAGAAAGACGATGAAGGGGTTCCGGAAAGTTTAAAATGTGATCGTTAAATGGGAGAACTGAGCATCACCGACTGATGATGGTGCAGTGATGCAGAAGCAGTGTTTTATAACACATTCTGGTCCACATTACCGGAATACCAATGTGCAGTGATGTTACATTCTTTTGAACGCCGCAGGTGCCTTGTGTGCTGTATGTGTGTGTGTGTGTTGTGATGCTATAACTCTGCAAGTAACCGCGTGGCGTCACCACGGGACGTGTAATTGAGATGCCGGCAAAACGTTGCAGCGCTGCTTTGAGCCTATGCAAACACCTGGAATCAGCTGCAAAGGGGTGGTGGTTCGGTGACCATTAGGGGAATGAGTTTTGGGACGGACTGCACGCAAACTGTAGCAGTGAGAACGATGTTTTCCTTTCTTAGGTTCAGTTTTATTAAACACATTTTCTGCCAAGGTGTGCATACTTTGATGCATTACATATTCGCAGTTATTCAGTACCAGAAATAGCCCGTTCGCCGCCTTTACGCGTACAACTTTCAAATATTTCTGAACCACCGGTGCTCTCCCAACTTCAGTTCATTCTGACGCTATTATACCCAATGCCAGCATGAAATATTTTCCCGTCCATAGCGGAGATTGATTATCTGCTCCCAAATGAAGGACATAAATCGTTCTGTCGGGACATAATGCTGCCTCCATGTATGACAATCTCGCTCTAACACAAAACCAGAGGCCTCACCAGAGCGTTTCATGGCCATTCGAAGCGATCAGTGTGCCGTCATGGATTTTTATTCAGAACAATCCATCGTATCGTTTGACTGGATTGCTTCCTTGATCGCAGTTTCACCGAACACTCTGTCCGGCTGTCAGGGAGATATGTGCTGCCCGGCAGGCGCGGATACAAGGGGGGGGGGCCATGGGGGCCATGCCCCCCCCCCCCCTTGGCCGATTTTTTTCAAAAATAAAATAAAAAGTTAAAAAGTTAAAAAGCTGAAAAGGGGGCCTCCTGAAAATAAAGTGGCCGAAATCCGATGAGTTTTTTTTAACCTACCCACTTAGTTATTTCTTAGAAAGCTAGCTGAGAAGACTTCTTTGTTAGAAGATTGGTAAAGCTTTTCATAACTTGGAGGTCTCTTATACTCACAGAGATGACCACTTTTACAGGGCCTCCTAACCTGCACAGAGGGCCTCCAAGCCTGCACACATGTTGAGATGTTGCCTGAACAGCTAGATAAGCTCAATAGACGCAGTTTTTTTTGGGGGGGGGGCCAACAAGTGGGAAGATGGGGCCTCCAACAGGTGGGATTATGGGGGGCCTCCTGGTTTCTAATGGCCCCTCCCTTGGAGATTTTCTGGATCCGCCCCTGCTGCCCGGTGAAATGTCTGGCGAGCGCTGGGGGTCTTATCTGGCCCATAGCGGAAAATACACCTCCTCTATTTCCTGCAGGGCGGCGATTGTTTGTCTTGCCGGGCTCGACAGGCGCCGCTGATCATGTGTCATACATCGCAAACTTCCTCGTCGCTCATGTGCCGTGAACATTCGAGCCCAAACCAGCAACATATCCATCACCTCCGCAGGCTCTGCCTCCGCCGTGCAGCCTTATAAACGTCATCGAAAAACTATGTGAATGTATTTTCCAAAACACTCCCGATCCTCCAGAAACAGCTCTTTTCCCAGCCACCACACAGCTCTCAATCCTTCACTGTGACACCATGTCCCAAAGCCGCGCTATTTCACGGCGCCCCCTACAGCGCACACCTGTGACACGGCGCTCCTCTCGCCCACAGCGCTGGTGCTCACCGACCTGGGCAAGCTGCAGATCTCGGCTGGCGGCTCCCAGATCACCACTGCGTCCGCCGTGGTGGAGGACTCGGTCGACCACAGCCCGCGGCCGGCAAACACGGCCGTCTCATGAGATGAGGCGGCGCCGGCCGGCGGCGCCGAACCGGACAGCTCGCCGCGCGGGTCCTCTCCGCGTGTATCCTCTCCGCGCCGACCTCCGCCGGTGCACATCGTGGAGAACCCGCTGCGGCCGAGCTCGCGCTCCCCGAGCCCAGCCATCGCCATCGACGAGACGGTGCGCTGCGGCGCGGCCGGCGACTGCGACCGCTACCTGCCGCCGGCATCCCCCCGCGCCGTGCGCTTCTACGGCGATCCCATGCCGTCGGCGCCGCAGGCTCCGCTCGCCTGCTCCGAGCCCGGGCTGGAAATCCGGCTCGAAGCGCGGCTCGAGACGCGGCTCGAGACGCGGCTCGATGGACGGCTAGATAACCACAAGGACGGTCTGCCGAGTTACGAGTCGGCGGCGCGCCGCTCAGGTCAGTGGTCCGAGGCGCGGTGTGACAGTACAGTGTCCGGCGCGTCGTCGGGCGCCCCCGACTGGCGAGACGTGGCCGCCGACCGCGCGGAGGACGCGGTGCTCAAAGACTGGTCCGGCGAACTGGAGAGGGCCGGCGAGAAACAGGACGAGTGGCAGGACGAGGGTGAGTCGATTGTAGCCAACTGTAGCGACTCACCATTGTCCAACTGTTTGGACTCACCCGAGCTGGTGCCGCGTATTGGCTTCCATAACGATGTGAAGGAGTGTGCCATATGAGCAGCGGGCGCCGTATGGCCAAGCTGTGGATACATGCGGGTGACGACTGTGTGTGGGTTTCTGAATTCGGAAGCACTGTTGAGCTGCGTGTGAGAGCATTTTCAACTCGCCTGCTGCTGGTTTTACGACGACTACTGCCGGTTATATCGGCATCTGTTTGCCGTTTCGTTGTTTCTCCCGGCGCCCCGATGCGACAGGCGCTCTGCCAGACAGCCCGGGGGACGGACCGGTGACCGTCGGTCGCGCCGATCACCCCTGGGCTGTCCCTGAGCCCCGCGGGCCCTGTCGCCTCGGAGCACTCCCCTCCCTCCTCCCTTAACCCCACCCGGCAGACAGTCGGTGATCTGTAGCCGAGAGTTCCCGGACACGGGGCCCATTCTTCCCCATATTTTTCCAGCTCACGTCGTCTGCTGAATCCGGTAGCGGCGTGACATTACGTTATGTCCGTCCTCTGTATTTTTCTGGAGTTGCGTCAGCAACAACCAAGCTGTAGTTCCCGCAATCGGGAGAAACTTCTATGAATTTTATTGCAGGGGTTTGTGCGAGAATGCCAGCTAGTCATATTTCAGCCTCTGATTTCACATTGTGTGATAAATGATGTGTGTTGTAATGTTGATTACACAAAGCGCTCATTTCTGTAACTGTGTAACTTATAACTTGTCGTCAATACTCAATACTTGTGCTGAATGCGACAGGAACGAGGATGCGGAATCAAAAAGGACAAACAGCTTCGGATGACGAGTTCTGCATCCCGATAAAAGCGACGCAATCAGCCCTGTCGCAATTGTGTTGGTGCTTTGAAGATCTGAGCGAGTCTTCTTGTTCAAACATTGGCGTGAATGTGTAATTCGCGGTGGCATTGATGACGTGGGTTACTGTGATTGGTTATTACTGAGTGAGGGAGCGCGCAGTTTGCTGAGTGGGTCGAACACAATGTCGCATGTCATGTGGCAGAGCCGTACCTAATGTGACATCAGTGTCAAATCAATCACGGTGACAGATTTTAGATTGGCTGCATTCGTTACCAGCGGCACGGGGGAATTATGGAATGATTGATGAACATTCCATGTGTTACGGAATGGTTGTAATGTGTACTGTTCTCAACATCAGTGTAATATAATTGTTCCACAACAAATATAAATAGAAATATCTCAACGTCGATGGTTGTGTCTATTATCATCGAATAAATCGTCCATCATCTCAATAGTCGCACAACACACGTAACTATTGCACGTTCCGATAGCAATATGCATATTGCCTAGTCATCAAAACGTTTCCACGAGACGTCTTCTTTCCGAAGAGTCTTTCTTGGCTAAGCATGCGTCTATCATGGTTTATTTGTATGATCTACTGGCTCTAACCTTTCGTTAGTCATAGAGGATTCTTCATGGCTCCGAGTGGAAGATAAGGATATCTTTTCCAAGCGGGTTACTGAAAAACCGAGCGACGAAGGAGCGAGGTTTTTCTGTAACACTCGAGGAAAAGATATCTGATCTTCCACGAGTGAGCCATGAGGAATCCTATATCTTTCTATGTTGAGGTTTATTCTGAATTAATAAAATATTATATTTAAATGCATTCATCTGTGTAAAAGTAGATTCAGATTAGTTTGTTCTTATTTCATAAGTTTCATCCATAAACAACCATCAAAAATGTCGTTCGGTTATTGGCCCATCATCACATGAACTCTTGATTTTTCGCTATGAACCCTCGAGACCTTATCTTTGCATCTCAGAGGGATGCAGATATAACAAATTCTTATCTTTGCATCTAAGAGGAGTGCGAGATAGAAATATCCCTGCACTGTAGACCCAATGGCAAATAAACCTCAACTAGAAAGATAGCAAAGAAATGTATGCTGTACTCCTCAACTTTTACGCCGATCCTCCCCGCTCCCACCACCCACCACTGTAGTCCCATGGATGATGGAATATGGATGTCTGTCCCTCCCCCCCCCCCCATTCCCCGGTGCTCGGTCCCTCCCAGCGCCCTCACCCAGACATCTGTCCCTCCCACCACCCTCTTCCCAGACATCTGTTCCTCCCTCCCTGCCCCGGCAATGCACACTGGTCGGAAACGCTCCAGCGAGAGGCCAGCGGCCTTTCCGCAAAAGTTTTTCGCTTGTTATTCCACAACTAGTGAAGCAAACTTTATAAAACTTTGCATACCTTCTCTGTCATATGTAAGCTATCATTTGGATGTCAAGCACTAAATATATGACGTGAATCTGTTAAGTTATGACGTCATAATTGAGTATAATACAGGATCTAGCACCACTTTAAGTCAACAAGGGAAATTGGGAGCTGCTATTCGGGCACCGGGAATGGTTTCATGCACTCCTTGCAAGGTCCAGTGCTTCACTTTAGCATTGTTGACTTTGCGTGACGTCATTTATGACGTCACTAAGGCCATATAAGTTTTTCGTCAATAACTCCTGATCAGATGGAGCTAGAGAGTCGGGAAAGCCACCATTGGACTCAGGAAGACCTGCCGAATCGAATGATATGCGATATGACCTCCTTCAACCATTTTCGTGACCTGAGGGGCTCCGACCTGACGTTGACCCGGGGTTAACACCTTAAGTTGACTTCACCCGAACACCAAGAATAGCATTCAACGCGACTGAGCTAGACAAACACGATGATGCCAAAATCGCGGCAGTGCGGCCATTTTAGGCAAAGTAATTAACCTAAAACCGAGCCCGTGCCTTGTGGCACTTACCTGACCTAAGAGGTCACTGGCTGACCTAAGACCTCAAAATCGGGTAGCACCTAATTGTTGCGTCTTATAACGGCACACAAGCTCTTTTTTTCCGCGAGGCTCTAGCTCAATTAGAGGCGAAACGGCGAGGGAGTTGTACCAACCCTCCCCGGTCAATATAGAAAACCAATCGGTCCGGCCAGGGTTAAATACCGGAATTGTGATCTAATGTAAAAAGACGGCCCAAGGTAACCCGACGTCAGTGACAGGTGTCCTATATTTGCAGCGTCTTATATTCACGAAGGTTTCAATTTCCACTTTCTTCAGCCGAGTGATGGTTGTCAATAGCAAGGCTCTCTAAATGCAAGCCGTAATCGCCACGCAATATGTGGAAGGCCTTTGATGTCGATACATACATAAATGCATACATAAAACGCGCTTTTCACAAAATTCATAAACTCAAACGCATCTGTTTTTAATGACCAGTCAACTACGCATGGATGCGTGCAGGCCACACCGGTCAGCGTAAGCCGGGCACGGCGGCCGAGCCGAAACTGGGGCGGGGCGGGCGGTAGTTGGGTAGGAAGAGCGGCTCCTGCAAATTTTGCGCAAATATGCGCAGTTAGCTTTTATGTTGCCCTGGTGTAAATTTAAATCCTGCTTCATCTCACAAAAAATCAGAGTGGAACTAGATGGGACTACCTGTTGTTTCCTTACCTAAACTTTGCAGTTATATTCCAGAATCACTGAAGGAGAGCCTTCATAAAAAAGCTACAGTAGATCTTAGTTAGGGAAAAAGTATACCAACAATTTTGCACTGACCAGTCGGCAACTTCATAAGGAACATTTTGATGCATAATATGTGGGATTTCATTTTTGTGTCTATCAGCAATAAGACTCTGAATATCCGGCTCAAGAAACCTCTTGCTCCGCGTCAGTTTCCGAGTTCTGGGATACCCCATCTTCGGGGGCTGATTACAGTTATTTTTGGTCACCCGGATTAGTTTTTTTGGCCGAAGTATAATAATTTGATAAATTTCAAATCGATCTATATAAAAAATAATCCGAAACTCCGGAATCGCCCGTGGCCTCTCGTGAGGGCGTTTCCGACCAGTGTGCAATGGGGCCCTCCCCGGTGCCCTGCCCCCTGCCCCGGTCCCCCGGGGCTCGGCGGAGGATCGCGTGCCGGTCTTTTTGCAGATCCTCTGGCCGCGGGTGCCGGCTGCCATTGGTCGGTGACCGGGCACCACGGACCGCCGCTGGATGAGAGCCGACAGCCGGGATCCTCCGGCCGGCCACGCAATCACTGCCGCCCCCCCCCCCCCCCCCCCCCCGACACCTCCTGGCAGTGACCATCCCCATCAGCGTCCCCATCCGCAACTCATGTCTGATACCTCACTCGCTAACGTTTCCCTCTGGAATCTGGGTCTCTGCCCTCGTTCCAACTTTAGGCTGTCCTGAGCAGCGTCACAACCTACTCCTGGAAGGTCACATACCGATTTCGTAATTTCACTGCAATTGGATTCCACAGGATTCAAACTGACCAGGAAGTTTGCCTTGCCCAAGCCCACCTCCCTGACTTCCTGGGACGTCACAAGACGGAGCCTGAAATCCTCAGCTCAATGCACTGACCTCGTGTGAGCTGTGACCCGGACTTCTAGCTAACCCCGACCTGAGTTCGAGCGTCTCACTGTTTCCTTGACACCGAATGAGCCGTATAGAGGCCGACACGGAGTGACCAAACACTGTTGGTTTCGTTCTGTTGGCGTCCCGGTGAGCAGGTATGCACACACAGCAGCTAATTCAGCTGTCAGGGCGTTGATGCCGGACTCATTCCCCTTATACCATCAGACCCCGTGTGTGCTAATAGCAGGGTTGGCGGACCACCTCCGATGAGCGGTGGCGGCCTCAGGCATCACAGTCCCGCCCCGGCCGGTGCGGTCGATACGGCCCCAGCACGATTGTACCGGCCACATTCATCTTTCAGGCCTTTTTTGCGGCGCAATGAAGGAAGACAATGCCCAAGTGGCCTTACACCCACTCGATAGCTATCAATCTGGTTAGTGACTGTGTAACGGGCCTTCCGAAGCTTGTTACATAAGGTGGGTGCCAGGAACGCAACAACACACCACACCATCCATTATGAAGCCTCGATCACTATGCAACGCCTGTTCTATAAGACGTCCTCGCTCTATAGCTATGGGACAGAGTACGCTAGCGCCGGTGTCTATGAAAAGATGCAATATTAGATGGCCGCTATGACTGCAAAAGCTTTTGGAATATAGAATGCCAAAGACGTGTATTTATGTGCTGTCCTAAGGTATGATGGCTTTAACCCGCGCCCCGTTGGGCTCTGCCGAGCAACGCGAAAATGCCCCTAAGATCTCGAGAACCACGCAACCTAGCGACAAGCGGCAAACGGTGTTGGATAGCCCTATCAGGGAACTACCTTGTGACCCAATTTTATTGACCTAGGTCAAACCGATGACGTCACAGGTCAGGTCAAATGTCCAATTTTCACCGTTTACAGGCATTTCAAGAAATGCGTTGTAAAATCGAGTAAAATGCATTTCATTGAAAATCATCGATGGGAAAATGTTCTTCAAACACATATTTTGCTATTTGAGGTCACTGATACCAGGTCAGGTCACAGAGGTCAGGTCACTGGGGGGGTCACAATATGAAAGTGTCGTGTGATGCATGTTTTATGGTCCATTTTACATGACAAATGCGATTATGTGGGTCAGGCAGCCTTTGGGGCCAGCTTAGATCACGTTTTGGTCAAGGTCAGGTCAAGGTCAGGTCAAGGTCAGGTCAAATTAGGTCAAATTTCAAAGTTGATATTTTTGCATAAAATGGGTATCGAATCGATGCAGCTTCTCACGGGGAGTTCAATGGTGGTCTTTGTTTTGCCGTACGTGGTCTAGAATCGCTAAAAATTGAGTTCAAAAAGTTGACGTCATCATTTTTGAACAGTTTTTTTCGCTATAACTTGGCCAAAAAACGAGATATCGATCTGAAATTTGGTATGTATATAGAAGAGCGCAGGGAATATCACAAATATTCCGGTTTTTTCGAAATGCGGAATTTTTTTGGATTTGTTTTTAGTTTTTATAAACAAATCAATTTTTTGAATTTTTGGGGTCAAAAACCCAAAATTTTGAAAATCCGAGACAGCAGTTTTGTAGCGCCGCTTTTTGTCTACCAGACCGTATAAAGAACTTTGAAATTGCTTGATAACTGTAGATTTGGTGAGCGTTTCAAGATTGCATGTTTTTTTCCTCATTTTTGCTCGAACATGACCTCAGTTTGACCTCAATAACTCCTGACCTAAGGTGACCTAAGAATTGAAATTTGGTGTGAAGGTGTCAAATTGATGCCCGGGAAGGAACTGAAAATTTTCAGGAAAAACCACAGGGGGGGCCAAAATGGCCCCCCCCCCAACGGGGCGAGGGACTCGT